TTTGGATAGGGGGAGTCAGTTGCCTCTCTGACTTCAGCCCAGCCTTAAGCAGAGAAGAGAGACGTCTCTCTTCTCTGCCTTAAGGGACTTTAGTCGTGAGAGCATTGCTGCGCTACCTGTTGAGTCAAAAAAGTGTCAAAATCCATGCAAGAACACCTCAAATTTGCAATGACGAACTGTGATTATCTCATAAAAATAATTTTAAAAATCCAAAAAATTAGTGTACATATCTCTCTACTAAGTTTTCTAGTGCTAGTGTAGTAATTATTACAAAATAAATTGTTTTCCAAGTCGTGGGCTGATGACAGCGAGAACCGCCATGGCACCTCAAAATCTAGTGAATTCGTACTTAATTTTAATCTTTAATAATTATAAAATAAATAAATCACGAATATTCGTGTAGATAGACATAGAGAATGATATAAGCTTCCATTTGGGACCTAAGCTGAAAAAAATTATTCATTTTCAACGACGTGGTTGGTCATGGCAAATTACATAGTGACTTTCTAGGGAGAAATCTGTCTACAGCCTCGCGTTAATAATTTTTTTGGGTCGGCGAATGTTTGCCGAAAATCAGTCGTACCAATTTTTGACTGTGTAGTTGGCAGCCTGCGGGCATTAATTAAAAAAAAGCGAAAGGCAACTTAGTGTGATAAAATGACGGAGGGCGCTGCAATCGTTTATTATTGAGTTATGATAATGTAGAAAACATAATTATTTGGAAAATAATATTTTCTTAACTGTAAGATTGCGCCTCAGGATAAAAATTTTAATAGTACAGAAATTGTCAAAAGTCTCTTTAAAAACAAACATTTGACAGATTATAATGTTAAAAGAAGAGATTCTTGAAGATCACTTACATGGTCACTGGAAAAGAATGCAAACCCATTTATATCCATATTCAGAGTTAGCAGAGATTGGTGTACCAGCAATGAATATTGGAAACGAAGCTCATATTCTTACGTGGAGTGTCAAGCAAATGCAACAGACAAATTAATTAGTCAGGTGAGGTAGCCGAAAGATGCGATTGAATAAATCTATTGCCAGCAGCATTGGTAGTAATTTAAATCGCTTTGGAGGTGCTCAAGATTTAAATAAAATGCTACTGACTGATGATTACTTTTAGTGATGTTAATCTACGCAGTATGCGACGTTTAATGAATGTTTTTTATGTTATGGGTAATTTTTGTTTCACATTTATTTTTCATATTTTAAAATAATTGAAATATATTGTGATAAATTTTTTATTTGCAGGAAGACTATTAAAAGCATTCCAGATTGACTTTAATTGGTATCATTTAGCTAGTTGGATCAATATTACTGAGCAGTGGCCTTTTAAAACTTCTTGGATGATTCTTCACTATGAAATGTATGAAGACACTTTTGAAGATTCAATGTCTTTGAAGACATTGTATGATAAGTAAGTATTGATTCAATTGTCTGAAGACAAATGTTTAAAACAAACAAATTGAATTTGAACTTTTTTTTTTGTTATTTTAGAGTTCGTTCACAAATTCCAGTACTTAAAAACGTTCAACTTTTCAAACGAAAACATTCGCCGACCCATTTTTTTCGCAAAAACGAACAATTTGCCATTTTTAAAATGATATATATTATGTATCAAATACTTGTTGTTTCTTTTTTATCCTGTTTAAAAAAAGCGAATCTGCATTATGTGACAGTATATTTTTTATTTACAGTAAAGTGAAATCGTTTCCTAACTGAATACGCAATAAAACGTTTATCCACAAATGAAATTCAAGATTCCTTAATATTTATTAGATATATGTTTTGTAAAGCATAAATAGTGAAATATTGCCGATATCACATTTATAATTAAAATATTCATTCAATTATAATATATTACACATGAAATTTATCATGAAAATTCTGTGAATATCACGGAGCATATTTATCACTTGAATTTTCTTCGCTTTCAGATCACGCTATCATACATTTCATCGGATTTTTTGTCATTAAAAATACCATTTATTCATGTAATATTAACTTATGTATACGGAAAAATATCCAGCAATACAGATCTATGTAAAATAAATATCTTTTATACACATAAAGCAACGTATCAACTTACAAAACATGCGTTTTAATTTCAATGTTTACATAGGAAGAAGTGTTAAATTATTGTAACCATATCCCCGCCAAAAGTTTACTGTTATATATAAGATTTGTGAAACTTTCAGCACATATATGGTGAAAAAACATTCAACCCTAGATAGAATAATTAGATCATCTCTAATCACGTTTTTACTACCCTCGCTTTCGGCTCAGGTCGCAGTCTTATTCATGGTTTGAGTTGGTCTACTTTTCCTTCCTAGGCATGAAATTTACTATTTGAATGCCATTCATTTTACAATTTTTAACTAAAAATAAAAGAATTAAAATAATGAAATGACTAATGACAATAATAACCTCTCATTCTTATCTTAATGCCATTTCATTCGACATTTTTAGACGAAATCGCATGACTAAGAGGATTGTACTTTGATTTTTTTACGTTAATAACAATTATTCCTATAATTCTATATATTTTTCTAATTCTTCGTATGAAGATTGGTTTTTTGAGCCTTTTTTTTTCGTGCAGCCAGCATATCGTAAAACGGATTATGTGATATACTTTGTTTAAGACATTTTATCCATTCATCTTTTTCTTCATCTGTTGCAGCAGACATTCTATATACAGTATGTTTTCCTAAACATTTAACGATTATTAGCAAAAATAAAAATAATACTACAGCTAAATAATTACCTTCCACAACTTTTCCTTCACTATCTGTTTTGCAAGCTTTAATGAATTCAGAACCTGCTGCATACAATTCGAAGCAATGTGGTTTATGTCTATCTTGAACTTCTCTAACTTGAATATTTTCTAAAGGAATTATTCCTCGTGGTTCTTTATCCGTAGTATATTCAAAATAATACAAGCAATTATCATTTAAAATAAACCACCTTCTTTTCCAACTTTTATAGCGGCCGCCTGAAAAAATTCGTTTCAATAAGTAGCATATAATAAAAATACTAAAAAAAGCATCTTGGGGCGTACAGTTACCTGCTGTCTCCACCAAGGTAGCAAAAGCATAAAGTTATATATGTATATGTATATAAATATATAATGAGTACATTTACAAATAATTATTATTTCTATTTATATTACCTTGTTTCCAAAGCCAACCTTCTTTATCAGGATTGAAAAATGTATGCATTAAATCATTCCCATCGTCTTCAGGTATTTTAAAAGGCTCTGTTTTTATACTCTCATAAAGACTCTTTAAATGAATAATAATATTTTTGTAGATTTCTTATTTACCTTATAAAAATATCAAGGATAAAACAAGGAATACGTACAACAAGTAATTCCCGAGGTAAGTCTCCCCCATTGTTTATACCTCGGTTCATAGTAATAAATTGTTCAATACTCGGCTTATCTTTAACACTTGGGTTATGTAATGAAGTATTTAACATAATTATGGCAAAACTCAAAACATAACATGTATCAGTATTTGTAAAAATATTAGGATTAAGTTGACAATATCTCTGTGCAAAACATTCCATCATTCTATCAATTTTTTGAGCTTCCCCTGGCAATCGAAATGACCAAAGAAACTGACGAAGAGCTTGAACAAGAATTAAATCTGTAAAGTCATGGAGTTCAACAAATGCTCGTAATACGCGTTCATTAAAATCGTGTCTCTCGCCTAGATAATCGCCAATAGCAGTTTTATTAAGACCTTCGCCTTTATATAGAAACTGAGAAACATCTTCTGGTGTAGGCGATAATAAATTATGCTCGATCAGGTACTCAATGCCTTTTTTTGGATCCATGTTAAATTTTTTACGCCCAATCGACATTTGCTTTGCTTTGTTCGATGGTTTATTAGATTCCTCCATCGAGAACCCTCCTCCTTCCATTGCTTCCATTTCTGCCACAACTTCTCCGAGCTCATCCTTTAATTGCTATAATTCATTAATAATAAAATTATATTATAAATGTATACACATTTCAGATTTTTAGCATGGAAATATAATCATAAATTTTATCGGTTAAAAATTAATATGAATGATGACTAATTGTATTCTAATCAATCAACTACGGAAGTGATGTTGTTTATAACAGCACATCTAGAAGCATATGAAACATGGACGAAGAAAATCAAAATCAATTTTCGTACGAAATAAAATCTTTTATTTTTCTAAACATTTTACTATTTTGTTAATTAATAAATTTAAATGAAAGAACTAAATTCTCTAATGTCGCGTATTTCGTAAATTCTATACCGAATATTTGAAATTACTCGTAATTAAGTTTTATCTGTAAATTTGTGATTAATAATAATCTTAGTTTTCAAGTTCTAAAAGCAAATAATATTACAAGAATTGTTTCAATAATACATTGAGCAAGTTCTGAATGATACTTCAATTTAGTAATCAATCATTTATAGACATAATATTGTACATAACCAGCAAATGTTTGTATTTTTTGTTTCATGTTGTTGTTATTTTTTATTTTTAAAAAATTTTAATTAAAAATAATTAAATTTATACACAAACAATTTTTTAATTTTTCTTTAACTTATTGTTCAAAAATATCTACCTGAATTTCTAGTAAAAGTTCAGTCTTCTTCCGACGAATGTCAATAAGAATTTTCTGCTGTTCTGGTGTAAGCTCTGTAACTCCAAAAAATATTTCTAAAAAATACTGCATAAATAACCATTTGGAATTCTTATAAATTATATACAATGATAATTTGATTACATGAAAAACAAAATTATTCACTTGAACTTTCGTTGTTTTGCATAATAGCAATAGTATAAATAGCCAATAACAAACAAATAATAATAATAATGATGATAACAATATGTATGGAAACATAGCAATAATTGTTTAAGATACCGTAATTTATTGTCACATTATTAATATATATGCATTAATGACAAATATGTATGACTCGTATGTAAGTATCATTTATATATATGGATGTATGCAATTTATTACCTGTTGTACCAAATTGATCAACTTGTTGAGACCCAGAATTAACGGTGGAATTAACTGAATCTAACGCTTGCCACATCTCTGAAATGTGACTTAGCGTTATAAATGTAAACTTTTACTGAAAGCGAACAATCTGAATGATTGCTGCCATTTTTATTGACACAGAATTCGTTGTATTTGAAAGTGAGTATTGTTTACACCAGTAGCACTAAATTTCTGAACTAACGTACAAATGAATATGCCCAACATTGGACGTTCGTACAAAAAGACAGAAAGTTTTGATAAAATCCAACAACTTTTATACACTTGACATTTTTGGGAGTTTTCTATGATCGTACACTATGGCTAGGGACGGCTCCATTTTGCCGTAACTATAATTAACATTTCATCGCGTAACGTTGGCTACATGGATTCTCTCACGCACAATATCACAGTCGATGACGAAATGGTATATTAGTATTTGTTTTTTGGTGTCTTCAAATATAGAACTGGTGATATTCGAATTGTATGTACTGAAAAATGGTTGATAAAGTTTCACACTAAACTGACTATTTGCTGAAACATGGTCGCTAACGTCAAAGTGAATTATAAATAATTATTTTTATTGTAATTTTTTGTTTTTTATAATAGTAATTGCGAAAAACAATACACAGTATACAGAACTTATAAAAAATGTTACCAAGACATAGAATTTATTTGTTTTTATTCTCTTCAATATTAAATTTATTTTTTCATTATTCCATGTAAACAATCGGAAACAATTTTTTTATAGTTAAAATTTTTTTGCATTGTAAATGAAAACAGAAGAATCAGCGTAAACCCGTAATGAGGGTAAGGTAGCCTATTGATGAACCAACTAAATATTCAGTAACGTAATAAAATTATTATAATCTTTTATATATCCATTAATAAATTTCAATAATTCTATTATGGAAATTTTGTACATAATACTGTAATTTACTTCTAAAATTTTTATATTAGTGCATAATAAATTTTATAATAAAAAAAATTTCCATTCATTTGTTCTTAATTATTTTATCATTCACCTTTTACTGTCGATCCATTTCAATTTTCAAATTTGCGCGGTAGCTGCCATTTTTACGATTAAATAACCAGTCAATTAACCGACAAAAGAGCTACAAACTAAAAATGCTAGTAATTTTCCATCACAAGCATGATGGTAACAACCATGTTTCAGTGAAAGTTTGTTATTCAGTACTAGTTTAGTGCAGTCAATCATATTTCAGCATCTTTTTTAACATCACTGTGCCAGATTCTGTATTTAGGAACTTGGTACAATTGATTCCAACGAAAAATTTAAGTTCACCATATCTCTTTCTTCAAATAAACTATACCTAAATACATGTATATACATACATATACAATAGCAAACATAATGTGTCTGGATATTCAGTAAAAAGTTTTTTTATTTGATGTTTCAAGAAAATATAAAATCTATTTTTACTAAAATTAGAAGTACATATAAACAAAAAGTAAATACATGATTACTTGTCTACTCTACCTTCTGTTTTCTAATGTTGTGTACTCAGCGTTTAATTGAGTTTAGCTTATTTAAAGTGGTGAATAAGTCCCAATTGTTTTTGTTACAATACAATTTTTTAAGTATCAAGGCAAATGGAGAGAACAATAAACATAAATAAATTGGTAATACTACATTAAAATCATCATTTAGAGTTTTTGCTGTCAAAAGTATGAGTGCAAAGATTAGTTTTCGATAATATTGAATGAAGAACATACAGACCCCGTTATCGGAGATTCAGTTGAATCACAAATATGCAAGCTCCAAATGGTTTGTAATTAATAATATTTTATATCTTTATTTTTAATAATTTTGACATTTAAATATATTTTAAAAAATTGTGAAAATTTGAATACCATGCTTTATTAATATTTTTATTTGTTTTATATATTTTTAATAAATTAAATAGATAAAATTTTTTATCGATTGTTAGAATAAAAATTTCATTACAATAATAGATTATTAATTTTAAAAATATATCACGTTGTTAAAAATATTTTGAGAATGAATTGAAATATTCCCAGTAATGAAATTTTTATGATTATATATTGTTTTATTATTATTAATCCTATTAATTTTGTAATTAAATGTTTTTATTGTTTCTTTATTAATTTATAATTAATTGAAAAGTATACCTATACATAATCAAATAGCACGACTAGTGTTACATTTTTTTAAGCAAATTGTTTTGTAATGCGTATAATACATCATTTTTTTAAATATTATTTATTGTTATTATTATTATTGAAATAAATACTAACTCTTGATGAACTTTTTTTAATTCAGGAATAAATGTTTGTGTCAATCCGGTGTATACTTCTATACCTGGCATTCCTGAACTCGGAATGGTATGGATGGGAGACATGATGGTTCATGGTGAACCGTCACATGAACTTATGATAGATTCAAGGCATGTTACTGAAAGTTCTTTTTTTACCCATACTTCACATTCCTTTGAAGATATACGTAACAATCAAGTGGCTCCAACTACTATGATCAGATACTTACCTCAATCGTTCACTAATCAGTGTTCAGAATCTAATGAAAGTATTAAAAATTTGGAAAACCCAGAAATAGATCAGGTACATCAAAATGCATATATTCTTTGTATTACAATAAGATTCTTAATATCAGGTTTAATGATATTTTTTTAAAAGTAGTTTTTATAGTAATTAATCAATAACAATAATATAAAAGCAATTTTACAGGAATACAGTCTTCGAGAAGAGAATGAAGAAATAAGGGAATATTTGACACTGGACGATTACATAGAAAAAGACGACGATGAAGATGATGATGAAAATGGACAAAAACAAAAACACATTGAAGAGGTTGATGAAGATGATGAAGAAGAGCGTGGAATGATAGTGAGTAATGCTGCTACTCAAACCACTCAAGATTGTCGTAATCGTAAAATAAAACCTATAAAACATCCAGGTTTAATACTAAAAACTCCTATTGCCTATCAACCTCATACAGATTTAAATTTTATTCCGATTCGGAAAGATGGGATTGCTGTATGCGAAAAATGTGGAGCAATAGGAGTTAAACATGCATTTTATACAAAAGAAAGAAGATTTTGTAGCCGAGCATGTGCTCGATCTTCAGAACATACTATGCCTACAGCTGATTCAACATACAGCCCGTCACATTATTTCGATCAACCAATTATTAACTCTTCAAAAGATGAAAAAGTAATGTCACATAGTGATAATTCGTCAAATACAAATAAAACAGAGTTTAGAGAATATTTATGCTCAGAAAATAAGGATAATGATGAAGTAATCACAGAAACGGTGATGCCTGAAGATTTACCAGTGAGACGAAAAAGAACAGCAGATATGGCAGGATCATATGATTGGACACCACAACTTACTGAACCGGGCTTCTGTGCAGCACCAGTATCATGTTTTAAACATGCTCCCATATCAGAATTATGGGATAACATTACTGTTGGAATGAAAGTAGAAGTTGAAAATACTGATTGTGATGAAGTTTGTGAAGCTTTTCCTGATTCTTTTTGGGTAGCTACTGTCCTCAGAATATCAGGATACAGGGCATTATTACGTTATGAAGGATTTGGCCATAATGCTGATAAAGATTTTTGGGTTTCACTTTGTTCTAATGACATTCATCCAGTTGGTTGGTGTGCTACTATTGGAAAACCTTTAATACCTCCAAACACAATTGCTAATAAATATAAAGACTGGAAAGATTTTCTTATGAGACGACTCACTGGTGCTAGAACTCTACCTACGAATTTTTATAATAAAGTGAATGAAAGTATAAAATCCCGATTTCGTTGTGGTTTACATTTAGAAGTTGTTGATAAGAACAGAATTTCTCAAGTTAAAGTTGCTACAATACAAAAAATTATTGGTAAACGATTGCACGTGAGATATTATGATTCTCCACCAGAGGATAATGGTTTTTGGTGTCACGAGGACTCACCGCTCATACATCCAGTAGGATGGGCTAAAAGAGTTGGTCAAACACTTGATGCCTATCCGGAATATTTACAAAGAGTAGCACAGGGACGGTTATGTTCAGATGATGCTACAGAAAATTTATTTCATGTGCCAAAGAGCCATATAAATTTTAATTATTCATTTCAAGAAGGAATGAAACTTGAAGCTATTGATCCATTAAATTTATCAGCAATATGTGCTGCAACCGTTATGCAAGTCTTAAAAGAAAATTATATAATGATAAGGATTGATAGCTATGATGAAGATACTAATGGTGCTGATTGGTTTTGTTATAACAGTAATTCACCGTGCATTTTTCCAGTTGGATTTTGCGCTCAGAATGGTCTACCGTTAACACCTCCGAAAGGTTGTGATCCAACTACGTTTAGTTGGAATGCATATTTAGCAGAAACGAATGCTCTACCAGCTCCAGTTCAATTATTTAATCGAGAAATTCCACAACATGGTTTTATTGAAGGAATGAGATTGGAAGCAGCTGATTTGATGGATCCCAGATTAGTTTGTGTAGCTACAATTACTAGAGTAATTGGTCGATTACTGCGTGTTCATTTTGACGGATGGGAAGATGAATATGACCAGTGGTTAGATTGTCAAAGTCCTGATATTTATCCAGTAGGTTGGTGTGACCTTGTTGATCATAAACTTGAAGGACCACGAGTACTCACTAAAAATATTAGTCCAACAGTAAAAACACCGAGAGGCCTTAAACGTAAAGCAAAACGTAAAATTAAAAAAGGTGGTAAAATAGTATGTTCTAAAAATATTTTATCCCGCCATAGTGAACGGATTGATGTTCTCAAAGGGCGTGAAAAAGAAATAGAACTCGTAGAAGCTACCAAGATTGAACGAGCTCGTGAATTTGAAAGTTTACCTAGGCAAGATGAAAAGGAACCTGAAGCTGCTCAAGCAGCTGGTCCTGATCAAACTTTACCAACAAGCGGTCAAGAAAATCTATCAAAATTAATACAAGATGATGTTAGTATAATCAAGTTTTTCATTACTAAATATGCCTTTTATTTTATCATTCATTGTAATGTAATATTTTTCATTTACAGGTTAGCTCAGTCAATAGCAAATACATTCCGAAAATAACAGACGGATGGATGAAAAATTCTTATTGTAATAAGTTAATTCCTAACGAATGGAATGTTTTCGATGTGACTCAATTTTTACGTATAAACGATTGTGCAAGTTACTGTGACAATTTTAGTAATCACAAAATTGATGGCAAAGCACTTCTTGCTCTCACTAAGGATCAAATAATAGATTTAACCGGTTTCAAGGTTGGCCCATCTTTAAAAATATTTGATCTTATTCAACAGTTAAAAATCAAAGTAAATCCAGCTCAAGAAAGGCTAAAATTAGGTCTCAAAAAACTATTATAATATTAGTAATTATATAGTTTACAGGCTTTAGTATTATAAGTTAGAAAGATAAAATTATAGTAAAATTGTTTATTATAAAATGAAAAATAATTTTCTATAATTTCAGTTATTATTTCAGTTCATTAATAATTGTAATGTTTTTCTCATCTTACTATTCAAATACAAATGATTATTCTTATTATTACCATCATTATATGATATGAATAATTTTTAAGTATGTGATGATTAATAATGATTATAAAATTGACAAAAAACTATAAATAGTCATCAACAATATAAAAAGTTCTACAATCTGATTTTTTAAAATATTTCTATAAACAACAATTAATAAGTCTATTATAACTTTGAAAAAGTTTTGATATGCGTATATCTTTTTTACATCAATGAAAAAATGAACAGAAAAAATGTATCAATAGGAAAAGAATCAATGAAAGACGATGATGAAAAAAAAACAGTTTATTTGAAGACTATCATAGAGTAATCTATACTAGTCTTAATGTCCTTCCATTGACGTTTACTTGTAAAAATCTTTCATAGTAATAAAGTGAAATAAGTGTCAATAATTGAGTAGTTTATTTTAGTCATAAGTATTCAATTTAATAATAAGTATAAGTATTAAATTTGTATTTTTAATCATAAATCGTAAGGGTTTTTGTTTAATTGTATTACTTTCAGGTCACATAAATCTTCATACGTGAAAACCCGAAAAATATTTCCTTCAAATATTCAATTCTAGATAAAATTTGCAATCATAAGTATTACTATATTAGAAGTGTATAATTTAGCACAATCGTTTGGATAAAATATAAATTATAAAAAATTCATAATTTTTGTGATATAATGCTTTGCTATACTTATGCTTACTATAATTTGTAAGAAGTATAACTTATATTGAAAAAGCCGTACTATTCTAATGTAAATGTTGCTGATTCTTTAAAATAAATAAGTAACTATTTTATAGACATATTCATATCAAAATTTATTCCATAACTTATCATCATTTATTCATTGATTTCATATAGTTTGATTTATGGAATTTTATGTATATTTTAAATACAACATAAATTTTTATAATAAAATGCCAGAATAATTTTTATTCTTTATATAAATTTAATATCTTCAAGTAACATTGATATGTAATTTATAAGTATCTACATAAATACTCCACTCAATTTTTATAATTTTTTTTACATGGCAAAAATATGATGTTAAATAGTGGCATATTGTCTAAGTATGATTGAAAAATATTTGTATTTATTGCAAAAAATAACAAAAGACTCTACAGTAGTATAGATAAAAATAGTATACACTTATATGGCTATACATGTGATTATTTTGCGGTTACTAACAAATTTAAAATAATTATACATAAAAATAATCCAGCAGTAGTTTAAGAAGTAAAACAAATGTGATTTATATAATTCGGGAATTGACAGAAAAATATAAATTATATTAATTATTTATAACTCCATAAACGGCGATGTGAGTCGACATAATTAATAGTTGTATGTGTGTAAATGGGCGGGGCATCAGCCAGCTGGCAGATGTTTCCCGCGCGGTCGCATGCTTTTCGTTAAAAGGTAACCTCCGCAATGAGCAAATAGTTCATTTGTGATAATGTTCCTTATGAAATATTCTTCTTCAGACTAAGCGTTATTATGATATTTTGTACTAAATTGAGTTAAATTAAATACTTAATTATAAAAATATTATATTTATTTTATCCAAATAATGGTGACATGTAATACAGCAATGCAATTGACTTTGTATACCTTGTGGCACAGGGATGAATACTTCGAAACGGTATCCCGTTTTATACGTTGTCATTCTACTCGAATATTAGAGCTTTGCTTATGAAGTTAGATATGTTGTTCACTTAAGCGGAACTGTGCTTCCTGAAATTATGTAATAAATTATAAAAAATAGTACAAGTAAACTTTTATTATAATAATCATTAGTATTAGAAATATAAGTAGTTATTTTAACATTTTTATTATTTGCCCTATATTACTAGTACAGTTATACGATGCACATTTAAATAACCTGAAATAAAAGTGGTATACTAACCATCGTGAGAATGAACATTTTTTTCGGAGTTAATATATAAATGTGTTAATTTTATTATAGTCGTACTGTAAAGTATTGTGAAAAGTTTGTTGAATAAATAAATAGTGAGTAGTAGTTACAAACGAATTGAAGTTATCGAGCAAAAAATGAAGTAGTGGGGATGTTTGCAAATTGTTTCTGAAGAAAGTACCCTAACTAGTTACAGACCTGGTACCGGCAGCGGAGTGTTTCACGACGTGTAGACGAAATCCTCAGCTGTTTCCCGCCAAAGAACGCCATTATAAAACTTCTGCAGGCTTTATAATATATATCGCCAAGTAACTGTTTTGTGACTCGACTTAATTCGATTATAGTGTATGTTACAGTGTGTATTGTAGGCGCAAAATAACCATAAAATACTTAAAAAATTATAAGATAAGTGTTAAAACAAAGATTTTAGTGCTTAAATACTTAATTATGTGTAAATGTAACATCTTTGAAGAAAAAGTAGCACGAAGGTATACACACTGATCACATACCAATATATATACATATATATATATACATATATATTTTATGTAGATGTATATGAATTCATATGTATTTATTCGTGTATACATGTATACATAACACTAATTCTATAAACGTAAGTAAATTCCGAATAATAATATTGTTACTTATGAAATATTTTTAATAAACTTTATTATTTACAGTTCATAAAAATCTAGATGGGAATTTTCATTCATCAGTTTCAATGGATTACGTTTTGTGTGTAAGGATAGTGGAAAGTTTAGGCAAAAAAAATTGGAGTGAAAATAAATATAACAGGGTAGATTACATGTGAAATACTTGCAAATATTGATAAGATATGTCAGTGTTTAATAATAGTGATGGAAGAGTTTTTATAGAAGAAATTGTTCAAACGACTGAAATACCAGAAGAAAAAGGTTGTAGGTGAGTTTGCTTTGAAATAGTTTTTTTTTTTATTTCAAATATTCATACATCATTATACTAATTACACATTACTCAATAACAAATTTGTAACATTTTTCTAATAAATATGAAAGAAGTGATACACACATAGACATATATATTGCCTGTACACACACACACACACACACACACACACACACACACACATGAATATAAATATAATACCATTTTCAATTGGTAATCACAATATAATATATTATAAATTAACCAATTTTTCTTTTTATCATTAATGTATTTGCAATTAGTAGATTTAATACTGTAATTATTAGAGTTGTATAATACAATTTGTATGGTTAAACAGAAAGAATTGATGATGTCGCTAATATATAATTCATTATAAAATAATTATTTATGATAACTAAATTTTATCAGTTTTTAATAGAATAAACTGTAAAGATATTCATACAAATTTCAGAGCATTCTTGGAAATGCAAAAATTTCATCTAGTGAACAAAAATTTATTAGAAGATCAGTAGTACCTAAATTATATAAATACATCTATTAATATATATTGAGTTATAAATGGACTAACAGATTAAATATAAATTTTTAAATAATTTGGTATATTTAAAAAAAACCCAGTAATCACTCATATATATGTATAAATTGATTTAATCATATGATAAACAGTGTAAACATTATTTAAGCACACTGTATGAAAAATATTTAACTGTTTGTTCACTGTAATAAATTTATGATACTTAAATTGCGGATATTTATTGTTGCCCGCACTATTTAATATTTGGATGAACTAATTTTTTTATCATTAACAAAAGTTCTATGATATTTGTATATCGTTAAATTATAAAATACACTAAAATTGAATTACCCAGACTGAATAGGTATTAGCCGGACAAAATGAAGTTTTTTATTGAATAGTTGTTAGTACATATATTTGAAAAAAATGTTAAATTTAAGTAGTCAATTATGTAATTGTTTCTGTTCGAAATGTTTATGTATACAAATACCAATTAATATAAAAGTGTTTGAAAAAATTGACCAATTTCGATTGTAATCAATAACAAAGTCTATAGATATTCAAAATTTGTTATTTATCCAGTTAAAGTATTGACAATACTTAAATTAAAAAAAGTATTATTAAACATGTTAAATAGACAATTATTGAAGTTATGATCTAATAGTATTCTGTACGTAATCATATTCTGAAAATTTCTGTTTAAAAATGATTTTTTTCATTCAATATTAAGTTCTTCAGATTTATTTTTAAAATAGATACATGTGTTTTAATATGTTATATCTTCTTTGCAATCTATATTCTAATAGTAAAATTTTTAAAAAACTGAATATTAAACATGTAACGAGTAGAGTAGCAATTCTAGTACACAGCTGATATAAGAATGAAATAGTAACGCCATGGTCGACGCGTGACACCAGATTGGTAATGACCAGCTGAGTGGCGCCAGACGTCAGCTGGCTGTGACTCACACGCCTAAGAATGAGCCATGATATAAGCTCTGCCTAATGTCTAACTATGAATATAGATGTGAATCTTGCGCGCGCATATCTAAACATAAGATTAAGTTATTATAGAAAACATTTAAATATAAGTAATGTTTGAAAAAAATTTTTAATAATGTTGAAAAAATTTGTAAACATCGTAGAGAATGATAATGATAATAGACAGAATCATTGAAAATGTGAACTTGATCTCAATAGCATTTGTTGTTGATTAATTCTTTCATTTTATTAAAATTTTTTTTTAAATAAAACAGAATAATTTACTTGTTTACTCCAATAATTAAAATTATCACTATTAAAAAGAATCATTTTTAAAATATATTTAATGCATTTTTTTTTTGACAGCTACAAAATTATCTATTTTTATTATAAATATATTTCATTAAATAAATTATTTATTTATTAATATGAATGATTGCAATTTTATTTCACTTAAATTCTTCAATACAATTATAAACACAAAATACGTTCTTCTACCTACCAGACACTTTTTGTTTCACTGTCATTGAAGTTTTTTGTAATGACCAAAGGATGGTAACTCTTTAGATCAGAACATTTTCAATGATTTGGAGAAGAGTAAATGAACAATGACTCAGAATTCCACGAGAAATCATGCATTAAATGATAATTTGTTGTATCTGAAATGTTAATAAATCATATAGAAGTAAGCTTTGTCATAAATTCATTTGACAAAATTTACAATAAATTCTTTACCTAACTGTTGAATAAAATTTACATCATACTTTAAATTATTTTTAAAAATAATTTTCTCAATATATATTGGAATAATTCTCTACTACATTAATACCATGTGTATCAGAATCTAAAACCACACCATCATCAAAATACATTCAACTACGAATGATTTTTAGTAACAACTGTGTATTGCTTGTAATAATCAAATGAAAATTATGTAAATGAAATGTGTAATATTATTATTATCAACAAGTACATATTGTTCATAAAATTTTCCTATTCTTTATAATAATCGAACTCATTTCCTAACTTAAAGTGTGTTTATTGTCATATCATGTCAAATATTAAATTTAAACACTAAGTTTCATAACTTTCATACCACGTAGCAGAATATTTTAGAATTTAGAGTCAAATACATAATTATATAAATTGATGTGTATTTATTACCAATCATTTCTTTCAATTTCAGTATCAACGATATCAACGAGAATTATCCTGCTACAGTTGCAATTGTTGAAGTGCATAATTCAGAACACGAGGAAGATAAAAAAAATTTCAAATTGGGAATAAAATTTGAAAAGAACGACGTCGACGAAGATTTAAATAATACTGTATATTGTAGTCATATTGAAAATTCAAGCCTTTCATACAATATTATCAATAACAATAACAGGGTAGTATTATCACGAAATCACATGGAGCAAGAGAAGCGGATGAGGCGAGAGATCGCCAATAGCAATGAACGACGACGTATGCAGAGTATCAATGCAGGATTTCAGTCATTAAGAACTTTACTTCCCCATCATGAAGGAGAAAAGCTATCTAAGGTGAGATAAAATTAATTGTATCATTTACTTACTTATGTAACGAATTTTCATCATATAAAATATTATCTGGTTCATCGATTTTTAATTACTGATATTCATGAGTAAAACATTCTTAGTGAGTTCAGTTGAGAACGATGAACTCTAATAGTTCATAATGATTGAAATTCGTTCTCACTTCTCATTTCTTTGTCAAGATTCCAACTAGTCAGATATTAAATCGAATAGATCCTATCGAAATTATTTCTGAACATCTACTATATAAAAATTTAGAAATTACTACTGACAAATATTAAAAATTATATTTTTGTGCTATTATTTTTATGATTTAAAAAAAAAAACTCATTTTCTTTTGGTGTATAAAATGAAATGAAATCTTTTTCTAACAGATAATTTGATATCATATCTGAAAATTATTTTACATACAATTGTTTATATGTGTGTCTTATATTTATTTGTTTAGAAACATTTACAAAAAATAAAGAACTTGACGGTTGTTTTCTGACGAAATTGGATCAATATTGCTATGGCTACACCTGGTATATAATAGTTATGAGATAGCACAACATAGTAGTAAATTAAAATTCAACAAACATTTAAAATATTAGATATTTATACTTATACTACATATTTTAATATTTTGACAATTTATAAAATTTTTTAGTATGAAAAAAATGAATATTAGAAATTGAACTGACTAAAGTTTATTATACAAAACTTTGTACATTTATAATTAATCTTTTATATTCTTTTCAAAATAACCAATTGAAAATAAGAGTCAGTTGTATAGTTTATAAATATATTAAATTGTATATCTATTGTACTCAACTCTGGCACATTTAGTAGTTTTATAGATTGAAATAATCTAATTCTATCTGAAGATATACAATGTGTTGTGTTTATTAATAATTAATAATAGTATATAAATTACAATTCGGCTATAATATTATGTTTCGAGATACTAATAATAAAACCAGCGAGCACACAGGTTGGAAAGAATTATAATTTTTTTTCATAGAAATACAATTAATGTAACATGTTAATAATAAATTTATGTTGTTCAATAGACTAAAAAAGATCATCTTTTTACATTTATCACATTTTTACATATTTCGTAAATCATTTCAGGCAGCCATTCTTCAACAGACCGCTGAATATATTTATCAACTAGAGCAAGAAAAAACCCATTTACTTTCTCAAAATTGTCAACTTAAAAGATTATTAAATCAACATGAAGGTGGAGACATGCCAATAAAAAAACGAAAAGCTGAACATCAAGGTATATAATAAATTTTTAATAATTTTATATGTACCTAAATAAATGTATGATATTACAATCAATCAATTGCAAAGAATAAGTTTTAAGCAGTGGTATCTTTCTCCATTCTCATATAATTAACTCATACAATATTACATTTAGCATTATTTTTCTTAAATTATGAAAATTGAATAATTTTAGGTGTAGTCGTAAGTTTACCAATAAATGTAAACGAGAGCAGTGATGAAGGAGTTGGCAGCATATCTCCAGATCCGATTTCTGTTATTACTGTTTCTGCAGATAGTCATTCTACAATAAATACTTCAAATAACGTTGGCATCAATAATGAAGTTATTGAGTTGAAATTACAGTTGGAAAGAGAGCATCATCAAAGATTGCAAATTGAAAAACAATTGAGAGCAATACAAATGCAACTCTACCCAGATAGATATCAAGAAAAACCAATAATAGCGTATCAACATGAGGTAAAAAAATAACTCTTGTTTTCTATATTTAATGATTCAAAAGTATTCAAAGTATTTTTTTTGCTTATTCTTATTTCTTTTCAAGATATTACAACATGCTGACAATATAATAGCACCTGAGACAGAGGATGTTGTAACTGGACTTCAAGTTGTATCGGTTATGTCAATTCCGGCTATAGGTTCTACGCAAACAGTAGAAACTACTGACCAAGAACCATCTTCTCCTCCTCTATCACCACAACCAATTGAATTGGTAGCTGATGAAATAATCAAAGAAGAAGACTCGTGCCCTGATTCTCGTAAAATAGTAGCTTTCTCAACTTCTAATCAAGTATTTACTACAATTGAAGACCATGGAAATACTGAATGTTTTTCACCGATACAAGTACCTTATAAAAACGAATTTACTAATTCAGCCACATCGTTTACTGCAAAAAGTCCTACAAGATCCTTTTCACCACCTACAGAACCACAACGGTTACCTAGTGTTCTTGAAGCTGCTATGAAAGCAGAACCGAAAGTTGAGGTCGAAAGGTTTGTATAAGAATTATAATATCATATTAAATAATGATTTAAATTTAAAAAAAAAAACATTTATTTTTTGAATCATGTATTGAATTTTTAAATATTATTTAAGTAGATCATAAAAGCTAAATCCAAACTCTGAAATTATTATTTCAAACGAATCTTTCTCTTAACGAATATGTTCTTTATTTATTTTTATTCTGTTAATTTTATCGTAATTATTAAGTCTTTATCTTTCAAATATAATAAAAAATGTTTTCAAAGTTTGATGTATTTATGCTATTTACTTTTTTTGTAGACTGCCTTCTCCTGCTAGCTCTCTTGAAGAGGGTACGTCTCAAGCAAGACTTTATCTAGCGAATACATCTCGACAAAATCTAGAAACTATTGTGGAAGCAATTCGACATCTCGAAGGTGATCATCTCTTCAGCGACGAACCAACGCAAGATGTGCCATTAGCACTGACTAATAAACCTACGGCTAGTTCACAAACTAGTACACTAAACAAACAACGTCTTCTACATACAGAAGTTAATAATATTTTGCATTTTCAAACTCAACAACAAACTCAGCAACGACCTGGTGTTATTGTTGTTAAACATTCGTGATCATCTTTTTTTTTTGTTGACCAAGAATTAGGAATAAACAAATGAATATCAAAATTAAATTCACAGATATTTAATTATAGATCATTGTATATGTATAATATATATGTATGTATGTATGTATGTATGTATATATGAATATGTTTACGACTATGTACATATATACATATATGTATATATCTACATTTGAGCATAAAATAATTTTTTTAATATTTAATATACTTTTTTTTTGCTTTCCATTATGATTAATATTTTTATCATTATTACTTTTGCCTTTATTTCGGTTATTGTCATCATTTTCATGATTCCAAGATCTATGAATATTGTCATTGATAGCAACTATCATATATTTTTTTATTATTTTATATTTTGAGTTGTGATTTGTTCAAAAATTTTCAAAAAAATATAATATTAAAAATCTATAAATATTAGTATATGCACTAAAAAAATCCTACGTGTCTTTTATTTTATTTTTAATTTTAAAAAATCCACGTAAGTTTTTTTATAACATTTTTCAACGATAATTTGAAACATTCACAATTAAAGATTGAAAAATTTTCACTACAAACAATATTACGTGCTGTTATGTATATATTTTCGAAAGAGTAAATAATCACAAATATCTTGAATAGTTTATCTAAACAAGATTTATACTTTATCACTTGTTTTTATAATTCATTTTTCCATTTCTAATGGTAATTATTTAATACATGTTTCATCGAATCAACAATTATTTGAATTTTTAGATCAATTGTTTAATAATAGAAACAAAAGAAAAAATTCTATGCATGATTACTATTTATTATATTAAACCAATTAAATGATGTAAAACTGTAAAAATGATATTTTTCAACATTTCATAAAAACGTGTAAGACATCTTGTAACTCCACAAAATAAAATTTTTTAATTAACTTGTGCCAAATATCAAGTATTAAAATTTTCTTATTCATGAATAACAGAATGGCATATTACTGTTGGTATATTATTTGTTACAGCAAAAAGAAATTGGAATTTAAAAAATTCCTTTTTAATGAATAAAAGGTAAAATAATTACTTTAAATTAATAAAAAAAAAACTTTCAAAATAAAGAAGTACACTACATTTATAATAATGAGAAAAATGCAAAAAATAAAAGTTGAAAATATTTTAAGAATACTAAAAATAATATATTTAACGAATGTTAGTTCTTTTATAAATATTATATAACACATGTACATATTTTTAAGTACTTGATTTATTAATTAACTATGAATAAAAATTTTACATTTGGGTTGCAAATAGAAACATCCAACAATTACAATGGCATTTATCGATTTTCTATACTGATTATGCATAAATTTTGCGAGACTGATTTAGAGAACATAAGTACTAAGTAATAACAGACACCATAGTTAGAATTTTTAATACTTATCAATTAAAAATGTAATTTAATCTGAATATCATTTGAAACTACAAAAAATACTAAATTAATTACATCTAAAATTCTTAAAAACTAAGGCTATAATTTTTATTTAAACAATTTCATATAAAAAAAGTCAATACAAATTATTAGTTGAACAAAAAAACTGTTAAAAAAAAAAATTCTATCAAACGTTTTATTTTATAAAAGAGAATAGCAACTCTAACATGGAGTATGCGGACAAAAACTTTAGAACTAAATAATTTGGTTTATAAGACTATTATTATTGTTGGATTGTTAATAGCAAAAAAATAGATAATTTTTCAATAGTCAAATTTAGTACATTTTATAGGTTCTTACCTAACTGAAATAAAATAATAATAGTAATAATAATTATTATAATAATAAAACATTAAAAACAATTGTGTATGCATTTAAAATGCGTTTATACTCCAATTTGAATGAAAAGCATTTATTGATGTACGATATTATTGCACACAAAACCAGTATACGAATAAAAAGTAAATATAAATATTAATTTTTTTAATTACAATAAATGGAATTTAGTAATTAAAATATCTTTTTACTACTAATGTGACAAAAATTTTTGTTATAAATTTATCTTTTTAATTTTATAAAAACAACGGATTACATATTAAGTATATAATGTAAGATGTAAATCAATGTTAATCTAATAATTGCATATATGAAAAAATAAATTTATTATCATCATTGATAAAAAAAAGTAAAGTAATAGATGTGCAAATGTCATTATAATTGTAATGGTACATATAAATATGAATAATACAATGTAAACATTAAAAGTTTTTTAATGGAATCAATAAGAATAATTATTTCGTTACTTTTAATAATGTTTACAAAATAGACTTCGATAGTGTTGGAATAATGTAGAATAAATCATCATATAATAAATTATTCATTTACGAAATTTGTATTAAATAATTTAATTCTCAATATCTACAAATCTTGGCCATTTAGAGATCTTCAAAACATATCGTGATTTTTTTTTAGAATAGAAAGATAAAACTAGATTGTCTAATAGAAAAATAGTTAAAGATCTAAGTTTCGATGTAGTTTTTTTGTTTCGAAATGTCTGTACGTATGTATGTGATGAAAGTTATAACAAATTTATAATTTTTCTTAGCATTTATAGTCCAGTCAATATGCACTATAAATTTGAAGTCCGTTGAACATTAATCGATTTAATTTGATAACCATTTGTTAAGTAACTTCAGTAAGCATTTACAAAAATGTATTTCTTTGTTTATAATAAATTCTTTTTTTTTTAAATTAAATATTTCAGAAACAATTTATCGGAGGTCAAGACATAGTGCATATCATTTTTGAAGTTCTTCATGGGGAAAAAAATAAGAGCAGTCTCAGTTTTCTACGATCAATAGTTCTTGAGATATTTAATTCTATATATAAAAAGTACCACTGTTTTTTTAATCAATTGTAGTTCATTATTAAATAAATTTTTAAAGTTTCTTTATGTATAATCGAAAGCTGCATCTGTGCTAAATATATCAAACAACTTAGTATTATTTAAGTGTCATTACTTTTTAAAATAAAAGATTAAAGTGCAAATTGAATAAGATATCATAATACAAATTTTTATTTTTTATCTAATAATAATTTTCTTCAGATGTAACTTGATTATTTTTGGAAACAGAAAGTTTTTTTCGTAAAAAACAGTAAATATTTTGAAAATTTATGAATAAAATTGCATGAACTTGATTGTTTGTGAGAAAAACCGGTAAAGTTTTTCCTAGAAAAAGTGACGTAGGGATTACCTCTTCTACTTAGGAAAAAATTAAAGGTCATGTATCTGCCAAAAAATGCTATTAAGTGAAATACTAATAATTTTGATCAAGCTCCGTTTAAAAAAAAATTTAATCCATTCCAAGTTTTTTAGAAAGCTCTTAACTCGAATGATATTAATAGTTATCAATAAACAAAGTAAATTCTTTGTTCACCAAAAATAAATGACGATGTTTATGAATAAATGACGTATGTTTAAAAATACAAATTTTTTCATCAAATTGATATGATTATTGAATAAATTATTTAATGTTTTTAAAAATGAATTTCAGATATAAATTAAAGTTCCAAGATTTCTCACATTAAAATTGATTTGTGATTTAAAAATTTCTCATTGAGATATTTTGTAGAGCAAAGTATTGCAAATTCATGAAAAGAAGATTGTCTCTGATTTTTTTAGCATTTTCACAACTTGAAATTATCAGAAAGTAAAGTTAAACATAAAAAACGGTAATAAAATTTTTAAATATCATAAAAGTTAATCCATTGAAGGTATCAACTGTTAGTTCAATCGAATGAGGTTGGAAATTGCCATTTTGACATAAGTGAATAAAACTAAAAGTGATGTACTATCATATGTGCGAAGTCAGAATGCTGACTGCTAGCTAGGAAAGGAAACACAAGTCATAAAAATTTTTCCTATTAAAAATATTTTTCATTTTTGGTTGAATCATGAAAATCCGGCTTTTTAAGAGCCGGTTTGTAGTTTGTTAAGCAACGTGTTTCTGTAGTCGAACGATTCAAAAATGGTAAACATCATCCGTAGCAGCAGAGAATAAAGATCTTTACATCTCTATTTTCTGTTCGTAGCAATAATGATAAAAAGTTACCATTACTTCTGTTTATAACTATTTCATCGGCTAATTTATCAAATATTCCATTTTCAAAATAACAGCTAACAGCGAAAATTTAAAAATGATATACATTAAAAGAAAAAAGTGATGGAATATTTAATAGCGGAATAATTGCGTTATTAATTTAAGAAAAAGCTTCAAATTGATGGATTATTATGATTTTTATTATCAAATTTATTATGTATTAATATGACATTTGTATTCCAATAATATCACAACACTTCTTAGTCACAGTACTTTAGGAGATTTTATCACAATAGAATAATTAGGAGTATAGACATTTTTGGTACTATAATCAATCGAACCCTTCGAAATGATACGAATAATTCACATTCTATGCGATAGTAGCACTATTATTTTTTTCAGCCCATTTGCCATCAAGCCACTTTTCTACATCTAATCCACTTCTGTTTTTAATGATAAAATAATTATTCTCAATTTGTTATTTTCTTCAAGTTTATCATATGCGCCAATATCTTCTATAGCATTATCATTTTTATTAGGTATAAATGTTAATAAGGAAGCTCAATTCCAAGTCGGTGTATCCAAGCATATAGTGTAAAAACAAATACACATAAACTCAATTTCGAGTTTATGCTGGCCATGTGGTTAGAGCGCAGAGTTCTACTTTACTGGGCAGGGTTCGATCCCAGTCATAACCACTTTTTTTTTCTAATTTATTTGTTAAATTTGCATGTAATTATAATATTAACATGCCAAAATGAATTCTCACTAACGATTTGATTTTTTTTTTTCAATTATTTATGTAATTTATCGACGCCAAGTCGGAAAAAATATGAACAGGGTTATAAATACTTTTTTTACTATAGCTCTATGAACGTAGCTTTTTTTTTTGCAATTTAGAAATATTTAGAAGTAGTTGAAACAATCCACGCGGATTTCCGGCACTTCGCCGACAAGCTCTATCCCCACTCTTCGTACTCAAGCCTGCATTATACAATTTATAAACATAAACCTAATCTTAGTGATGATGTGTTAGCTCTGTGGGTAGAACACCAAGCTTTCATTTTACCGATTAGGGTTCGATCCGAGTCATAGCCAATTTTTTTTCATTAAAATTTTACATAAATGCAATAATTGGTTGTTTATATTAGTTCAAAATTAATTACTATAGTCTTTTGGAGACAATATTTTCTAAAAAAAAGAATTCATAGTAACTCGTTCTTCACCCTCAGCTTATTTTCAGAAAAACAAGTTTTTTTTCGTAATTAATTGGAAGAAAATTTTAATAAAGTATATATAAATATATAAAGTTACTTAGACGAAAAAAAGGAAAAAAAAAATTTGCTATGACTAGGATCGAACCCTGCCTGGCAAAATAGAAGTCCAACACTGTGACCACAGAGCTGTCAGGATAACAATTCTATTAATTATGCTTGTATAAATTATAAGCTGCAGGCTTCGGCACAAAGAGTGGGGGTAGAGCTTGCCGGCGAAGTGTCGGAACTCTCCGCAAATTGTTTAAATTGCTAATATTTTTAAATTATTTTTGAAAAAAAACTACATTTATATAACTGTACTAAAAAAGGGTTTATGGCCCTGTTCGAATCTCTTCTCCCTCAACGTTCATTAATTAAAAGAATTATAAAAAAAAAAACTTAAATTCTTATTAAGAATCAATTTTGGCTTATTAAAATTATAATTACATTCAATTCCACTAAAAAAAAAAGAAAAAAAAATTGGTCGAGATCGGAATTGAACCCTGCTCGGCAAAATAAAAGCCTGGTTCTTTAACCACAAAGCCAGCATATTTCCAATTAAAATTTCATGTTTATTCATCTTAAACTACATGCTTCGATTCGTAGACTTGGAATTGAGCTCGCTTGTTCACATTTATACCTAATAGAAATAATAATAATGGATGAATATATGTATTTTAAGTTATTTTCAGGTATTACATTAATTAATGTTCAATGAGTATCATCATATTCATTTATATTACTGCAATAGTCATCAAAGTGTAGGGCATTGTAATGTGCCACACTACATTTACATCACAACATGTATTACTTGTACACACACATATACAAATTACTCGCCAAAATGCAGGGGGCACCATCAGTTCTGGATACAGATTGAGCATTTTTTCAATATGGATGACTGAGGTCATCTGCGAGCATAATGCTGTCACCTATTGGAATTTTTTCAAACTAATTACCGGAGAAAATCATCTGGAATACAATATTTCTAATTATTTCTAAATTATTTAATTTTATGCTATAAATTGATTTCTTTGATATTCAGATAAGTAGCAAGGACTGACGCACACACGAATTTTAGGCGAAAATCGTATAAAAATAAAATAATTAGTGATTTTTCATCTGAATGATGTGGCCGCCATCTTGGAATTTAAGCGCGGCAAGTCAATTCATAATTTGTTCATTATTCTTTCTAATTTTTTTAATAAAAATATTCACTACATACAAAAAATTGTTGTTTACGTCAGTCCGGCATTAATTTCTCTGTAATTTGGTACTTAATTTTATAGAAATAATAGTAAATTGGCGAAGAAATTAGAAATATCCCGATCCCATGTATTTGGATAGGGGGAATCAGTCGCCTCTCTGACTTCAGCCCAGCCTTAAGTAGTCTTTCTACTTGGAATCAGTATAATGTGAGCCAATGTATTTTGTTTATCTCAAGTAGGTAGATAATAAAAGAAGATTAACCTGTTACACTGACAGAAAAAATGTGATAGCTAGAAAGTATACTAGCGGCAAACACAAAATATACTCAATTTGAGTATAATTATTTTTTGATGCAAGTACATTTTATATCAAAATGAAGTTTAACGTGTACTGTACAATCATAATAACATTAACTTGATTTTAAATTTTTCATCACTCAATCCTAATATAATATTAATTTATACCAAGAATAGCGATTACTGCATTTTTGTAAATATTTTGCTTATCTCAAGTAGGTAGATAATAGAAGAAGATTACAAAGTTTACTTCAGTTGATAATATAGTTTTCTTACACTGAGAATCTTCCTTACTTACCACAAGTGTATTTTATACGGAGATCCCGTATAAAGCGTACTTATGCTAAGTATAATGCTGTTTTACACTTTAAACACCATGTTCTCACATTATGAATCCTTTTTTATTAATAAAAAAATACTTGTTACTTGATTCAAGTATATCAATTCTTCACTGCAAGTATATTATATACTTAAATTAAGTATACGAAGTACTCATGCTAAAATTTTTTTCTTATTAAATTTAAAAATTTCAAAATATAAATAATTATATTAATAATAAAAAAGTTACTGTTATACCCATTGGTATTGGTCAATTTAAATTAGTGACCATTACTAATGAAGTAATTTAATGATTAAATATTCAGTAATTAATAAATAGATGAAAAGTAATCTTATAATAATTACAACAATTACTGTTGTACTTTTAAATACGTGGAGCTGCTACACTTACCAAATATTTATACCTGTATAACTTTTAACAGGTGCAAAATAATAAAAAACTTTGCATGGATGAAATGTTCCATTTTTAATTCTGCACATTTTGAGCCCAAAATCGGGCTGATCGGTGCATTTGAACCAAAATGGGAATGATTTAAATAATTCATTGTTTATAAAAATAATGAAAAAATCAATGAAAAAAAAAAATTTTTCTCTAAAAATGAAATTCAATATCTCCTTTTTCTAAATAAATCGCCAAAAAGTAATATTTCTAACATTTAGTATTTTTTATTAATTTCCTTAGACGCGACTGAAGCTTTTGTCAATAGTGAAGCTTCAGTCGCGAATAACTTTTTATCTATCTTAGATATGTTCAGTGCTTTTTTTTTATTAAAATTACATTCTGAACAACTTTTATTTAAAACATTTTTTCATATCTATCATAGAAATCGAGAAATTCGCGAGGGGGGCGGGTTTTCGCGATTTACTCCCTCCCTATGTGTGCCAAGCATTTTTGACCTGCACTATCGTATTCCTCGCGGAATTTCCAATCTAGTCATCTATAAATCACTACTTTGGCCGGAGCGAATCATATTTATCCCATTTCCCTCATTTGATTGGACTATACAATTATCCTAAGGACACAGAAATATGACATTTTGCGTTTGTTAATGTATTCATAGCCTCTCATCCTCAATGAGTCTAAACCTCTTTGACCTTGACTCAAGCCACCCCACAAAATAAAGAAATTCATAAAAATTGATAAACGACTTAAAATGATTTTTTTTGTCATTGATTAACGTGTGAGACTAAATAATTTGTGGCTTAGCGCTACGTTACGAAAAGAAATTCTTTCGATCGTATTATAAGTAAAGCACGTGCAACATAGGCGTCAAACGCCATAGTTGTAGACAGTATTTTTTTTTTGTAATTCGAACTAAATCACGGTTATTTTTGATCATTAATTATTGTACAATAAATAATTTATTCATCATAATTAAATACATAATATTAAATAATTTATTGCTGAGCGCTGAGTTTGGAGATGAACTTTTAACAGTAAAAGAGTCTGACTGCAGAAGCTCGAGATATTGAAATATGCAACAATAATTGTTGTAATTATAAGAAAATTATAATTACCTCTATGGATTTTTTATTGTTCAATTAATAATTTATCTATCATCATCAAAGATATGATATTAGATAGTTTATAGCTAATAGTCCAGTCAAACGAGGGAAATGAGATAATTTTGGTTTGCTGCGGCCAAATTAATGATTTATAGATGACTGGATCGGAAATTTTGCGAGAAACACAATGGTGTAGGTTAAAATTGTTTGGCACGCATAGGGGGGAAGTAAATCGCGAAAAAAAAATTTTAGCATGAGTACTTCGTATACTTAATTTAAGTATATAATATACTTGCAGTGAAGAATTGATATACTTGAATCAAGTAACAAGTATTTTTTTATTAATAAAAAAGGATTCATAATGTGAGAACATGGTGTTTAAAGTGTAAAACAGCATTATACTTAGCATAAGTACGCTTTATACGGGATCTCCGTATAAAATACACTTGTGGTAAGTAAGGAAGATTCTCAGTGTAAGAAAACTATATTATCAACTGAAGTAAACTTTGTAATCTTCTTCTATTATCTACCTACTTGAGATAAACAAAATACATTGGCTCACATTATACTGATTCCAAGTAGAAAGACTACTTAAATACAAGTACTTTATTTTCATAAAACTTGTATACTTTTTACTTCTTCAACCGCTTGTAGTCTACTCAGGAGTGGTATATTCTGTATTTAGACTAAGTTTTTTTTTTTATTCATTTTAAAACGAAGTTTTACTGATTCCAGGTACTTTCTTTACCTGCCTTCCGAAACTTTTTTACCTATCACTTTTATACTGGGGACAAGTAAATTGTATAATTCGCCACCGGAAAAAATTTCTGTCAGTGTATAGAAAATCACACAGCATTTATGTCCGGTACTGTATAATGGCGTAGAATTCCTCAAAACAGAGTCTGGTAAGACGACGCCATATTGCTCGAGTCCTGCCTAAATTCCTATAAGAACTTAAGGAATTTTAGTCCTGCCGGACTCTATCTTGCCAGACTATATAAAGCGATAATTTACAATAAAACGTAAATTAATTTATCAAACTTTAATAATTGTTTTCGCAAAAACTATCAATTTGCGAATATAAGTTTCCAAATAAGATTGTTGTTTTTTTTTTTTTACATGTTATATATCCGGCTCCGCCATAAATAATCGGATATCCCGCACATGCAATTCACTATACCAGAGAAAAGAGATAATATATAGAAGAACCATCCCAATGAGAGCTGTTGAACGGTAATTTTTTCCTGCTGTTACATGGCTGGGGATACAAAGCAAATGCTAAAATGCCATATGTATCTCCAAGAATTCGTCCAACGGATTCCTATGCGGTGGTTCTTCTATATTATTTCTTTTCTCTGACTATACCCACTTATGTATAGCTGATACCACTATGTATAGTTAAATTGCTATATTTTGTTTATTGATATAACATGGCGGATGAAGATATAAATTGTGATTCTGATGGAGTTCAGAAAGAAAAATTACAGAAAAAAGTCGCAAAATATGATAGTGGAGCAGCAGATTTAGAAAGAGTGACAGATTATGCTGAAGAAAAAGAAATATCTTCATCTGGATTTTCTTGTGTAAGTATAGTAATCTATTGGCAAGTATACATGTGTGTGCTCCAATTTCTTCATTAATTTTCATCTTAATTGTTAAAAAAACATTCAATTTGTTATGTTATAATTTTAATTATTATTGAAAAAAGCTCTAAATAGTTAAGAGTTTGCAAAATCAAAAATGTAGTTCATTACTCCTCAAATAGCTTTAAGTATATTTTCATTCAATTTCTAAATTCCATTTGCTTTGTTAAAATTATAAAATTTACAGGCACTTACGATAATTGGTGATAAACGTAATAAAGAACAAGCTGAAAAAAAAGCGAAGGAAAAGGAATTATTAAAAGTTTCTATAAAAAAAGAAGATGTTGATTTGATTGTGAGTAAACTTTGATTGATTTAAAATTTTTGGAAATTAATATCCATTCTATCACAATAAAGAAGTTTTCAAATTAAAATGAACTTGACAATTGTTTTGCTCCATTATTTATATAATGTTAAAAAATATTATGTCATATTTATTATAAAATTAAATAATAGCATTATGATATACTAAAATTTATTAATAATTTAAATACATTTAAATTTTTTAGATGAAAGAAATGGAAATCAATCGACAGTTGGCAGAAAGAACACTCAGAGAACACAGAGGAAATGTTGTCGATGCACTTGTTACATTAACTAATTAGTAGTCGCAATTTAGCACCGACAATTTTTATCAACAAAATTTATTTAAATTCTCTTATATCTTATTCAAAAGCTATTTGAAATATAGATATTAATAAGAAATGTAAATATTAATTTATACAAATGGATGATAATAACACTAACAGTATGATATCTATTTAAAAACTTTATCATAATTTTGATTACCGAACGAACACCATCACAAACTTACCAAATTAATAAAGAAATATAATTAAAATTTGCAAAAATATTTTCTTCATGATTTTAAATCGAATGAAATGAAATTGAAAATTTTCAATCAAAGGGAAATGAAAAATTGAATTTCCTAAAAATTGTATAACTATCTCAAATGTTAAAACATTAAACCTTATTTTTTGAAAAATGGCAATGTTTAATTTTATTTTATTCCATCTAAAATTTTGGTATAAATATTGTTTTAAATTTTATTATTTTATTTACTCATAGTGACGGCTCAAATTTTGACTTATGTTTATTTAGAATAATACATACTAATTATTTTTCTTAAATTTAAATACTATTTTACACCATATCTGTACGAAAAGTTTGATGAGTATCTGCAGCAACAGTCTAGTGAAAAAATATCTTTAATTAAATCTAATATATATATAATTAATCTGTAATTATTTAAGGGTAATAAATAATTTTAAAGACATAAAATTATATAATGAAAATGTAATTTATTTGATGTGGTGCAATGACTTAAAATAAATGGAAAAAATGAACATTTATATGAGCTGGGATTAATGAACAGTTCTTTTGTTACTTCCAATTCACATTGTTTTATCGTACGCTATAAAATGTTATATTGAAAATGAAAATTTCTGCTTATAAATGCAACATATAGTGGAAGTGTAAATAATAACGTACGATATGACAATAAAAAAGGTTGTCGCAAAAGTGCTGATATTTATGATGAGGTAACGCTTGTCTTACTTGTACTTAATTTATCAAATTATCCAGTCATACGCTCATATATCCTTACTACAGATTAATTTTTTATGAATAATATTACATATACGGTCATTCGATCAATATTAGCCTTTTTTTTTTTTAGAAAAAAATCATATATTATTAAAAATTTTTGTGTTCGACAGTCCCAAATATGTTTTTATCTAAACATTGTGTTTATTTATTACTAGTAATAACAGAACTTCACTTAAATAAATACCAAAAGCTTGCACCTCAATAGTCTTTACTTTTTTCTTTTTTATTTCCCCTTTTTTGATAAAAATAATTTCTGCAGAATAACAAATTATTTACACTTGTATCTTTCATTTTTTAATCAATATAAAGTGTCTATTGAGAAGCATGAATTTGACCATTTTCAGTCTAAAACAATAAAAATTGATAAGTATTGTCATGAAATATAATTACTTGATGAAAAAATAACTGTTAAATTTCAATTTTTTATCATTATTGTACATGGCAAAATATCTATAACATCGATGATTATTAATGAATTATAAATTCATCTAACTCTTATAACTTCGGGACTGACCGAACTGAGTAGTTAAATAATTAGGCAACTGGCTGCAGGATCGACATTGGAATTTATATCTGGATCTTGGGAATAGAGATACAGTTGCAATAATTACATTGGACTTATCACAGAACATGTATGGCATTAATCATCTTCGTCATTAATGTAAATGGTATGTAATTAAATGTAAAACTAGGTTAGAGGATCGGGAAGCCAGTACACTACTAAATGACATTTATTGTTTTATTTCTCGGTTGCCCATAACTCAGTTCATTCACCACATACTTTTTGTTTCGTCATTTTTCAATAATTTTTTTTTGTGATTGAAGAATTAGTTACACAAAAACGGTTAATATTCCATTCTATAATTGACTAACTTTTATTTATACAATTCATTTAATTTGTTTCACGCATTATTTCTAACAATACGTTACTTATTTGTTTTTATATTTTTTAGCATTTTAATTTTATTGCAATCAATCGACATTTCCTGCATGTTTCGTATGATAAAATTTTTTCCTTAGAATAAACATAAAAACGAAATTTATAAATTATGGACAACCCTATAATTTTATTGTTCTTTTCTCAATAATGAGTAATAATCGAAGCTATCACTTTAATCAACTATGAAATAGTCCAAAAAATATAACTATAAGAGAGAAAACAAAACAAACTGTGCCATTAATTGAAAGGGGAAGAATTGAAAAGAAATAATTTATTGGTGGATTATATTTTGCAGACAAAAAATGTACAAAAATAAAAGGGGCACATATCGCGTAGCATTAAGAGTAATCATAGTCATAGTTGTATTGTATTAAGAGAAAGAGATCATAAAAAACATTAACTAGAATCATTTTCCCTTTTCTGGAAGAGTTTGATGTTTTCATTATGTCAAAAATTACTACCAATAATAAACAAAGTATCTGGGTTCCCCGGTTTACTTTATGTTTAATTATATTTATCTCCATTTTTTCAGTACCGGAGGGATATCGGATTCCTGACAAAAAAACATGTTTTAATCGTCTGGCCGACGTCTTATCACAACTTCTACATATCGGTACGTGGCAACATGATGAACCTTGAATTGTTTTGGCTCTCTTGCTTTTAGTACTAATTCTTCCTAAATCACGTTAATTTGTGTTGAATTCGTTGTCACGTAGGCTTGAGCAGTTGATCTTACTACTTGAAGCCGAAGACATTAAACATTCGCGCGTATGGGATATAGGTATTGTTCCTTAAAGGTGAATGAGGTGGGATTTTGTATGATTTTTCTTTTTCTTTAATCTCTCCGTAAAGAACTTTTGTGACATGTTGCACGCTAGTTTTGACACTACCGACACTCACTGAACACAACACTCTGGCGTTTTTACACCTTTAATTTCCTAACTGGCCATGAATATTCTTTTCACGTACCATTAATTACTTTTTAAGCCCTTAACAGCTGACTAATAATTGTTACAATTATTATTATCATCCTTTAAAAAAAATGATAACTCTGAGTGGAACAGATGGGTGTCGCACTAAGAAGTATTCATTTAACACTACTCAATGTCACTGTACACAAAAAAGTCAAGAGGGATGCAGGTGGGGCGGGGAGGACACAGTAGTTGTGCCCGGTATCAACGGTGATTGCTTTCAGCTTTGTTTCACACGCTTCCGAGGTGGCCCAATCGGCGGTATTTGTTGAGTTGCAAGGGCACGAAACGCCTCCGCTATTAAATGTGGATGTGAATTCACCATCGATTTAAAACCCGCCGTATCCATCACGTCTGTTGCATGACTAAAAGAAAAAAAATATCCATTAATTATATAACAAAAATACAATTTGAATAACAATAAACTTTGATAAACTAATCAATCTATTTCTAAACAAATGTTTGTATAATTTGAAACTTCCTAAATAGACAAACATGATTATCATGAAATTAATGTTTCTACTAATTAAACAGCAATTTACTTTAATTAACTTTTGTATTGCTGTTTTAGTGATAAACGTTTTTTAACCTATTAAATATAAACTTAATAATAAATTTAATGGATTTTATCTCATTATTAAAGCTCTATTATTGAATTATACTATTGTAATAATAATAACTAGTTGCAAATACATGTCGATCATATTTCAGTCTATGCGATACAAATATAACGTTAATGAATTGCAAAAATTTCGTAAACTTTTTATCAATATTACGTAAACGTTTTTAGTCATTATTTATAATTAATTTTACATAAATTCCACCAAAAATTAAATACTCAGGAAAAATATAATATTCTGTTATTCTAGGATTCAAAGGTGACACAAATTTTGAACAGAATGAAAATTAGACTGATTTAAAAGATTACCATGCTGCTTAGTAAACACGAGAATGTTGCGTGCAAAAAATATGATAATGTATTACTTGAATTGTTTAACCAGTTAAAAATGAGTCTTATAATTGTTAAACATTTCTCGATTGTTGACTAATATCACGACTCGGTTACATGAATTTTCAAGAAAGATTCATTAGGAAAATCATGAAATGTACCATACTAATGATTTTTACTGAAATTTTCTTTTTGTCCAATAAATCATAGAAAAGAATTGATTTTGTCAAGTTTTTTGGTGAAAAAATTAATATTCTCATTATGACATTTATACAGAACATCGCTCTATAACAGCGAGTACACTAATTTCATATGAACATAACAATATATTAACTATAGTTCCTATATTCCATTAACTTTTTGACATTTTACTGTTGATGATTTTGTAATCTTTGAATGAAAGTCAATAAAAGTTTCGCTTGTTAAAAATGTTAATTTTATTCACTTTTTCTAAAAAAAAAATTTTTTTAATGAACCTTTACCACAAAAACTTCTGTTTTGACAAATAAAAATTTTCTTCCTCAGTTAGATTACAATGCAAGATTTCTCGAATTTCATGATCCATATAAATATAATTCAGCAATTGCAATTATAAAGCTTCATAAAAACAATGTATATTTGTAGAATTTATCATTACAACATTAACAATATGATAATCTGTGCAGTACAGTACTATATTCTTAATAACATCTTCAAAATGATCTTTTTATGTTAAAAAATATAAGAGTATTCATTTGAAATTATTGTATATATATATATATATATATATATATATATATATATATATATATATATATATATATCTATTGATTTATTTGTAAAAAATGTAGTGATGATCATTACACTTTTTTTTAAAAGTGAAACATGACAATTTGTCAACCAAATCTTGTTGTTCAGTACTATTATACTGTTACTATTATTTTTTAATTATGAAATCACACGAGCTTTAACAGTAATAAAATTTTTATTCAAGCTTGTTTTTTCTCTTTCATTACGAAGTAAATATCAAATTGATTTTTTTCACTGAAATATTAATTAAAATATATTCTTTCCATTAATAAACTGTTATTTTTTCAATTTCAATATTAATAAAGTGATTAAGCTTACTATTTTCCGAAATGATGAATAAAGAATAAAAATATAAGAATATTACAGTTGATAAAATTTAGAAATTCATTAGACTGCCAAAATATTGTATAAAATGAATCAATGACTTGATGATTAAATAATATATCTTTGAGATATTTTTTTATATAGTACTGTACAGGAACTGTACTTGATTAGATGAGTGATACAACAGAATGCATACAATTCTGTACAGTATTTGAATACAGAAAAAAACTTACGTGTTTATAAAATCTATAGCTTGCGCCTTCAATTGATCGGCACTATGAAGATCGGCAAGTATAAGAATGTCTGCCGCATTCTCAATAGCTAGACTTGTACATAATGCTTCCTCACACATAACTTTAAGCCTCTCAAGGGCATATTTGTCCGCTGCAGCCAATAAATCGTCCGCCATCTTCTCAAGATTTGCCGCTTTACCCGTATAAATAAACCGCAACATTTCTCTTAGTACTTCATGATCGACATCTGTTATGTCTACACGATTTTGTTTACGTTCTTCCATTTCGTGTTCAAACATCGCTGAAAAAACCGGACTTCGAGCTGCAATAATTGATAAGGAATCCTTTTTAGTATTTATCGAGTAAATATACACACACATGAATTTTTTCATTATTAAATAAATATTATTGTTAATAAATATAATTAGAATATACATTAAATAAAAAAAACTGAATATATTTTACCTGCTAAAATGGCTTTGTGCGCTTGAAACTCTCTCCCACAAACCGTCAGCGTTACATCACTGAATTTTTGGCTTTCAAAGAGAAGTCCGAGGTCGTCAGGCAGTCGACATTCGGGTACTTTAAATTGTATTGTGTTACTTTGTCCAGAAACATTTACACTATCAGCTACTACACTAACCTGTATGTCGTGTACAAAAATAATAATAAAATGAATGAATGTCTTTTTTTTATTAACATAAAATAATAGCAAGAATAACATACAAAGGTATATACCTCACAGAATATCGTGAGTTTATCATCAGGTAATAATCCATTAGCTTCATCTAACAAAAAGTCTCTTCTTATGAACTTTTTGAAGCCCCAGTCCTTACCTTGGACAAACCTATAGGCTCGTTGGCTCTCTAAAAAATATTAAATCATATGTTTTTTTTAATCAATTATAATCCATTCTTTTATTAAAAAAAATATATTTAAAACTTCTACTGACCCATAGCTTTGGTTTCTTCTCTTTTGGCATTAAGAATAGAAAATTTGAACTTTGCTCTGACTTCTGATTTATTGCATGACACAAGAAGTAAGTAAAGTGATAAGTAATCCTTGCTTTCTTCATCTAAACCTTTAGGATTTACTCGAAGACACCTTGTTTATTGAAAAGAAAAATATATTCCTTATTAGTTTACTTTCTAATGTATCGAACTATTTTTTATTGAAATAAAATGATTGCGGGTCATATTAATTATAAAAAATTACAATAAAATGAGTAAACATAAATTAATAATATATACTAATTTAAAGAAATCATTTTTATCACAACGTATTTGATAAATTACTGTGCAATGAGCATTGATTATTACATATTGATTCAAAATTTAAATAATACATTAATTGATATAACTTGTATAAAAGTAGATTTTTTATAAAGATATTTTAAAATAGTTATTTTTGAAATAAAATTGACTCTTAAAATTTCAAATATTTAAATCTATTTAATTTTAAATTATTTATAATTTAAAAATGATTACAATATTATTTTAGTGTGGAAGGGTGTAAATTTTTTCTGCATGAAATATAATTTTCAATGTTAGAGTTTGTTTGTATTTGTTAATCCATTTTAATTTAATAAAATATCTGGTTACCATTTGAGTTTATCATTTGCCCCAGCTGAAAATGTTGATGACTTGAGAACTTCTCCCATTTCTTCACGGCAAAAACTAAAGTTGTTTATCGTCCACATGTAGCTGAATTTGACCACCTTTACCTGTGCACATAAAACCTTCAAATGCAACAACACGTCAGAATTGACTCCGTACAGACTAAAGTTAACTTAACAATTATCTATTTCCAAAAATTTAAAACGTTATTTAATAATTATTAACAAGTAATACAAATGTCTTTATGCTATTGAATTTAGAAATGGTATATGGTCCAAATATTTCAGAATATATATGTCTCTTTACAGTGATCCAAGTATTTTATCGTCAAAAATGTGTGCTCAAAGTTTAATCAATGTGGCATTTAAAAGTATTTTATAAATTATTTTTTATCATTTCATCAATTAAATATTTTTAAATTATAAAATATTGGATTATTGCATAAGTCTATTCAGAAATCAAACATTATTTTTATAAATATTTTTCTGAATATACGACCTTCCTTTGTTGATTAGGCAGAGCACCAATTTCCTGATAATAAAAATGTTTACTTTTTGACTGAAACAATATGGTCAGGTTCTCTTCAATATCTTCAGAATTCTCAAATTGGCTATAGCAAAACTTATGCAACAACCCAATATCGACAAAATTCTTTTAGTTTTTAATCTCAAGAAATATCAAAAAAATTAAATTTTAATAATGGATGACTATGAAATACTTGCGATTGTGTGTTAAGAACATTTAAACGTTTGAAATGCTTTTACATAGGTCAACTTGTTAAATTATGATATAAGTGTAACGGTAAATGCGACATTCCTTCGATAACAATAAATGTAATTATTGTTCCTTAGTCTGCAAATGTTATCTACAAATTACAATGAATACAACGTGTTCTTGACGTTTGAATAAAGTATCGCTGAAGCTACTGATTTAACTTCAATAACTCCAATTATAATTAAAATTGAATAAATGCCTCTAGCAATTGTAGATAAAACAAAATTCACAATAGGTACGATACCTTAAATACAGCAAAAAAACACTATGACAAAAAACGTGATGAATACTTTATTTAACAGAAATAGAGATAGGGAAAAAAAGACAATGTAAACGATTTGAACAGGTTCGCTAAAAGTCAACAATCTCGAATATCAGATGTATGGATCTTTTGAAGAACAGTGCCAAATTTATCTGTCAAGTTCCTATTGTGATAGATTGATCACTACTTTCAATCGAAATGCAATTAATTATTAAATGATAGTTGCCATTGCTCAACACTTGTTCATTCGTTGTTGAAACAAAAATTATTTACGGAAATTACTAATTTACTGAAATTATTAAAACTGTACCTCATAAACAATAATTTATCAATATAATTTAATGGAAAGTTAATAAAAAAAATTAACAAAACACTTTATATTTTTAGTGACTATGAAAATTATAGAATTGGTGAAGATAAAATAAATGTGCAGATCAATATAGATGACTTTATCAACACTTGATTTGTATGTTTTATAAAACAAAAATATTATGTCAATTTGTTGAAATAAAACAGGTTGTTTGGAAGAAGATTTAGAATTACAAAGATAAAAAGCAAAAAGTAAGAAGCTAGGGGTTCTATGCTCCGGTCGACGCCCTATGAGTGTCGTTCAACTCTTACTCGTCACCGCTCCCACCAATCGGCCTTGAATCATCCTCTCGTATCCGTCTACAGAGGCTCTGAGACCAGGTTTAAACACCAGACATGTAATGTACTAACTTCCGGTTTCAGGACTTGATAAAATACTCAAAGAATTCGATAGGAAACCATAAAAAAGACGTTGATTATTTTAAAAATGTTTGCCAAGTTAAAAATTAATTTTTGATAAGAGGATTTATTAATTGACAGTTAATAAGATTAATTTATAGTTAATTATTACAATTTTTTTCGTTAACAAAATAACGAAAAAAAACTGATAACAGCAGAATTATTATCCATAAGAAAGATACTAAAAGTAAAAAAAAGTTACAATAGGACAGGTAAATTTTTTTCAGTAATAATAAAAATTTGTTTCATTTTAGTCTATCCACAAAACGTTTTCTTATGTTGAACAGGAGTTTTCTTTTTAAAGAGCAAGAGAAATCACATTACCTCTGATGTGTCACCTTAGATTCTTGATAATGAATATCTATTGTTTTACAGAACCATGAAATAAGAGTAGTCCATCACTGTAATATTCAGAAGTGTACTATTTTTTTCTATGATAAATTTTTGAAGATTAGGATAAAATCATCAATTTCAAAATGATATTTATAACCATCAAATCTCACTTACATATCAAAAATCTTTTTTTCAGAGTATTGGTAATACACACTTCTGCAACTTTACGTATTTACAAGCGCCTAGGTTATTGTCCGACAGCAAAACTGATGTTTAGTGTTATACGAAAACGTTTATACTAGTGAAGTTACGTATTCTTCTCATGGAAGAATAAGATCTCATAAGATACATATTATTCAGATTCACATGAGCTTGTCTTCATTGGAAAAGAGACACATTAAAAATCATGAATTTTCTCAAGATTATTGATTAGCAAAAATTCAGGAGAATTGAAATATCGTAGTCAAAAAGAATGAAAAGATAAAGCATACAATAGAAATAACATAATATCAAAATGATATTATAAAAATCAAGTGAAATCTTACACAAAAAAGATAAATCGAATTTTTTCCATAATTTTATCTGTATAATTGAATGGCATCATCTTCTTTTCAAAATGAAACTTTTTTATCCATTTATTTCAGCAAATTATTTAAACAAATGCAATTGATAAATGAAAAAACACAACCAAATTTTTTTTAGCTGTATCATTAATCCAATAGTTGGTTTGATGGCATCTGCTACAGATTCGGCGTGGATTTTCATTGATTTATCACAACCTATTCAAATTTATTTACATACAATAGGGAAAATTGTATTTTTTTTCGTACTTCACAGAAGATAAAATCATGAAATAACTTGAATTCTAGTAAACTTTATTGAAAACAGCAGTATTGAAATAGATAAATATAAGCTAAGGATTTTTGTATAATATTTATTAGTTTATTATACCTCATCAAATAAAAAATATAAATTTAAAAATATCTTGGGTATTTAAAATATTTTTAGATTATATTTCTTGTACAAATAGGAACAAATTAATTTCAAAAATTCCCTAAGCATAAAAAAGAATATTTTAACTCAATGCCAAAAAAATATTTTCAATTAAAATTGATAAGAAAAGTCTGTAAAGTCTAAGTATTTATCTTAAGTAACTCAATTTAAAAAAAATAAATTGTACGAGTGAAATGTAATTTTTAAGCTGGAACATGAAACATGTTCACTAAGATGTTGAAATCAAGTAATGGAATGAAGAGGATGTCTTTTATTAGCAGGTCATTCACTTGGCAAGAGAGTTGATAGTAAAAATAGATTAGGGTGCAGTAGTAGTTTTCAATATGTACTCTGTCAAACTGAAATCCCCAACTTTTTTGATTTTAAAAATCATTAATGAAATAGCATGCAATTAGCTAAGTGTACTGTTAGATTAGTTGTAGAGTTATTCGTTTTTAGCTCTATCTCATAAGTTCTGAATTTTTTACTTCCTAACTCGGCAATTAATTTTTGTCTGTCAGTTCGTTATTTGGCAATACGAATACTTTAATTTTTCAAGTAAGTATTTTAAAATGGTTTTTAATGAAAAGATAAAAAAAATGGTTGAATATTCAATACATAATACAATGATAGCTGTTTTTATTTTTACTACACAAAACGAAAAATTTAATAAAAATTACCCTATCCTGTAGAATAAATTTTTCTGTTTGTGCAGCTTACTACTATTACTCTTTGCGACAATGTAAGTTTTATTTAACCTTCTTTCTGTCTAAACAAATACATGTATACACCCTTTAATAATGAATCACTGAAAATCACTACCGAACAGTGTATATTCACTGATTTACGTTTATAAAACTATCAGTATTTGAATTAGTGCTATTATTATTACTACAATCAATCAATTTTCAATGATTCATTAGTAGTGAATATTAATAAATGGGTATTTTCCTTTTTTTATAAATTTCTAACAATTGATTTCAAAGACCTCAGATTTAAAGAAGATATTTTTGTAGATTTATCTTTCCTATGTAAACTTGAAGTTTATTTGTTGTTCTCTCATGTAAACATAACTTACCTATAATGAAGAAATGACCGATCATTCGAATTAGAATATAAATATTGATATTCACATTTCATTTTTTATGAAAGTCGATGACTTTTTTTGTAACTGTAAGAGCTTCAGACATCTTTGACGAATTTAACTTCACAAGATGTATTCAAAATTTATTCCAAAGTTTTTAAAAGTCTGCGAAGAGCTTGACGTACCTGCGTATAACACCAATTCTCTGCAACTGGAGTGTTTACTTCAAGTGGTGGTGGGCTTGGTACACGGCTTACCGCCATACTACTACTGCTGTGTAAGTTTGAGCTGACTCGCGATGTTTGAGGCGCACAGTCGCTCACCGCAAGTCTGAAAAATGATAAATAAATAACATTTAAAACATCTATTATTTTCAATAATTATTCCAAGTGATTTCAATCAAATTATTTCATTAATATAATTTTAAACTTTTAGGCAAAATTATGTCTGGATTAATATTTAATGTCGTTAATCTCCAACTGAAATGTCATTAATAGATGATGAACTTTTTTCAATATAATTAAACATCTTGCACCTTATTTATAAGATTAAATTAATTGGATTAAACGATATAATACTTGAAATATTAATGTTGAATGATTTTTTCATCTGTTATGTAAAAATGCTTTATGGTTGAAAAATAATAGTAAATGTCAGTATAGTTAATATTTGATGCGAATATCAGAAAAAATGAAAAATAAGGGAGAACATGAGAGGAAAGAAGAAGAGGAAGAGGGTGGTATGCAGGGCACGCGATAGTGCACACGTGTGCCAAGTACGGAACTATAACACACCTCAGAACAATATGAAAGTACGTTAGCCCCTTAGGTTCATCGGACTCGTTTACGCTCCAACAATTAAGTAGTTACTGCAAATTTTTACATCCTTTTGAAAGGATTTATTTTCAATTTTGTAATTTAACATATGTATTTAATGTATAACTAGTTAGATAAAATAATAACTAAAAGATCGAGAATCAAATTATAAATTAATTTGAATACTTTATTGCCATTTTTGACAATAATTAATAATGTTGTTTGTGTGAAAGATATTTGGCTTCAGATGTTGAAAAATTATTGAATAAATTAAATAGATAAGATTAAGACCTCGAAGTCACGTGTCTCACATGCAAACAGAAACTCAACTACAGCAACTAGAGTGTCAGGGAGTGCATTAGCCCCAGGGTCATCGGACTTGCGCTCAAACTACTACAATACCAATTTTAAAACATTCACTTTCTTATTCTACTTTACTCATTTGTTTTGATATTTTTTCATTGTTCGTTACGGTTGTCTGATCGTATTTCCTTGACAAAACTAAAAATAAGGAAGTACAAGAAGAATGATTATTTATTTTCAAGAAATTCTTCAGAGAGTGTGAAAATATATAGATAGAGATACAAAAATATGAAATCGTGAAAACATCGATTTCTTGATGTTGCAGAGAGAAACTGGAAAAGAAGTTTCAATTCGGAATCCATTCAACCGTTTCAATCGATAAAAGGAATGCAAAGGACTCAGTTAAGTGTAAATTAATGGAAGAATGTGTAAAGAACGAGCATCAATTGATTGCATTTCTACTAAGTAACGAAATATTAAGGAATAACAAATATGTGAAAATTCAATTCCAATAATGTTTAAACAATGAGTTTTGAATTAGTTAATTATAATGAACAATAATTATTTTCATCCATACGGAATATTTCTAAATCACAAGAACCATTTCAAGGGTCTTTCAAATGTTTTATAAGAAATATTCAAATCTTTTTATTGAAAAAAACTAGAGGATTAATCACATTGTTAAACAATCTATTGTGTTGATAAGAAAATGCAATTTAATAATACATTTAATTGTTGACTACATAAAAAATCACTTCTCATGCAACAAAATTTTCAATTGGCCATTTTGTGAAAAATTGACAAGAATAAAATGTAATCATAACAAAGAAAAATAATAATCAAATTTCTACTGAAAAAATTAAATGTGTTGTAAATTATCTATGAGGTTGAGACTTTATCAAGAATTACTGTCTCTAGAGATGATTTATTTCGTCGAAATTTATTAAAGAAAATGATTGCATGATATTTGCTTAGAATTTATTTCATAAGAAAAAGTTTGTAATCGAGAAAAGTTATTGCAATATTATTTATATGTCGTCCTTATATTCTGCTGGCTCGTGACGACTTTCACTTACACGCCATCCACCCACGTATAAGTCTCATATTAGATACTTGGGAAGAGTGTGAGAGTCATTAGAGAAAGAGGTTATGCATAAAGCAAAAAGAGTGAGCTGAAGAAAGAAAAAGTTATAGAATAAGTAATATGTAAGTCTAGTGAAAACTTTGGTATACTGAGAAAATTTTTTATTCAAAATTACTCGATGCGGGTAATTTCCGCCAAAATGTAAGAGTTGAATTTACCTAGCAGTCAAGTAAAGCAGCTAAAACTTATTTTGAGTAACTTATTCAAGACAAATTTGTGGTTAAATTTATTTTTACATTTTTGTACTAAGTTTATATTTTCATAGAATTTAACTGAAAAATGTAGAGATAAAGTAAACCACAAACCTCCTTTGGATTACCTCTGGAGAATACAGTATGATTTAAAATTAAAAAATACATACGTATTTTGAACGTAGAGTATATAAGATTTAGCCTCAAGGTAGTATTTGGTTAACTCGTATTCAAAATAATTTTATAATGAAATTTTGTTTCATTTCAAGTTAAAATTTATAAATTTGTAATTATAAGTCATATTGGCTATTTAATTGATAAAAAATGGCGAAATAATAGAAATTGCAGAGGTGGTTTCGACAAAATGTTCAAAGGGAAAGTATAACGGATTGATGATAATGAGGAAGTCAAGAGAAAACTACGTAGTCAACAACGAAACTTTGTAATTATTGTGATTGCTGTTACATATCAGTCTTACGAAATTGAATAAAAATAGTTGTTATTATTCTATCTCAATTTATTTGGAAATTAGCTTTCACACTGTAAAAGAAATAAAGATGTGAAAATAATACCGTTTTCCTCTGATAAACTATCTCATAATATAGCTGCAGGGACTATCCAGATAGTTGATTAACGATATCTGAAATCATTTCTGTGGTAGGATACCTTTTGCAGCTATTTTTAATTTTATTTTTCTTTATATTGTTTGGAAATTGGATTAATAACATTGTAAACTTTGACAGTAAGAATTTTTTTTTATGATAATAAATGCAATCTATGTCAAATAAAATTAGAATTATAATTTTATGATCAAAAGTGAGGTTATGAACGTATGAAATCACTGGTTTAAATACCTTCGACAAAAATATTTGTTTGACAATTCTTTCTTTGATACTAAAAATTCAATACTACATTAAACATTTTCATTGCATAAAAGAAAAAAGAAAAATGTTTATTCAATTCAATTTAAATTACATAAAAAAACAGGTTTTTTAATATTCAATAGTTTAAAGTTTGATAATTGATTCGTAGAACACCTATGTCGAAAGAGATGAATATTGTTAACTAAAAAAGTGCAAAAATTAATATGCAATTGAGAAGCGTGGATGAAAAACAGACATTTGTGAATACATTTATTATTTTAGTTTTATACAAAAAAAGTGAAAACTATAAAAATGAAATAAATAACTAAGGTTAAAAGTATTTTTTGGTTACATCCAGGGCCAGCATTCAATTGATGTCTGATAAAAATATTTTTGTTCGTGATGATGAATTATATTTATTTTTCTTATCATAAGGATAAAATTTATGAGAATAACATTCGTTGATGAAAGTTGAAGTTTTTGAAATATTCATAATAATTAATTATTGATTTGATCCAACTCTCTTTTAAAATTACATGAATTTAAGTTTTATATGACCGATGTAACAACCTAAAATTTATTTGAAGAATAGAATTCATGTATTTTTAACCCTTCGATTCCATCGCTAGCTAGTAAGAGTTTCTCTCATCACGTTAATAATGGTGGTTGTGCAATTTAAACACATTCGAATGTACTTCGTTTATTTTCATACACTATACACATTCAGTAATATCACTAAAAATTCGAAATTCCTTCACACGTGATTGAAATACACACAAATAATGTGTATAGCACATGTATAACAGTATTATGCAAGTAATACACACTAAATGAATGAGTTTCACACGTGTGTGAATCATCTCGGAATTGAAATGATATATTTATAATGCAGTTGAAAGATATTTTGTAGTTTATAATACTAGAAATGTATAAATATAATTTTTTTTTAAATTATACTTTTAATAATGAAATTTTCACGCTTAAATTTTCATAAACCAAATGTGTGAAAGATATTTTCATCATAATATGAATGATTTTGAATCGAATAACAATGTAACTAGAAGGTTAATTCAAAATATAACAAAAGTCTGTAGAAAAACATCATTTTTAAAATGATACTCTCAAGATCATTATTAATAAATTAAAAACAAGAAAAAAACTAAATCATCGATCATTTCAGTAAAGATAATAAAATTTTAAGAGACTGTCTTATACAACGATTAAATAAGAGTTAAATGCTAAATTAAAAGTGTCTTACAGTAAACATATCTACACGTGTTCAATGTTAAACTCCATAAACGAACTACAGATTTTGTACACGAAGTGTATTAGGAACGAAACAAGGCTCTATAGTTTGTGTATAACAATTTAGCGCACCTCCGATTTAAATGTAGGTTTATTTTCTACATTCATTGTTAAATTTTAAAAGCTCACACACTGAAACTAACATTAAAAAACGAAATAATTATTTTTTCAACAATCTCGAACATAAACTTTATATTTAATAGAAGGATCCTTTTTTATTCTATTATTACCAATTTTGTAGAACCCTTTTGGAGCACCCATTAAATCTGCTATCTAATTTACAAAAAACTATGTTATTTAATATTTATAAAAATAAAATTCCTTCAATCTTATTTTAGAAATATTAATTCACTCACAATTAATTTTAATCAACATGATAATTTTCACTAAACTACTCCCCTATTTTGTTGCGAAAATATTGGGTAAAAATAAAATTAAGTAAGTAAAAACGAACAAGAAATATAGTGACTAAGAAATCAATTAAGTAGTTCAAATATTTAGATCACAAATATCAAGAACAGTATAACAGTTCAGTGGAATTTTATGACACTAAAATATCTGTGGTAAACGTAAAAAACACGACAATTATAATAACGAAAATGAATCGATCAGACCCTGAGGGCTACAAGAATTAAAATGTCTAATTCTTTGATCTTAATCGAACTCAATTATACATAAATATGTATATATATATATACACATTATTTTT